AAGAAAGCGCTGCTGCGATCGTCTACGCACATTACCGTTTGGATGACGTCGACCAGGTTAATGTAGTGCGTAAACCCGGGTAGCAGTACCAGCTCGACTGTTACATGTATCGGGGGTTAAGGGCACGTCGCAGTATCCTCCGTGTGTTTATTCCACGATCATTTTTTTTCCTTGGCACTACAGCCCCAGTGGGCCTAGGCCTACCTGCATGAACTTCTCCGTTCACTTCGGTTTTTCTAGATCTTACACATTCGGTAGGACTCCTTGGGCGTGTGATCAGCTCGTCGCAAGGCTTCTACCTGTACACAAACACAGAAATCCGCACACACACAAACTAAACATCCATGCCCTGAGTGGGATTCGAACCCACGATCCCGGTTTCCAGGCGAGCGAAGACGGTACATGCCTTAGACCGCTCGGCTACCGTGACTGGCATTCCAGGATCATGCAATCACAAAATCCCCTGGCGTTCCCCGCGTCTCCTGAGTACACCTAACAACGCGCCGTGTACCGTCGCGACAAATAACACTGCTGAGAAAAGTGTGTTACCCCATTAGACGGTGACATGTACCTCGCAAACTGAACGTGTTGTATAACATTTTCAACACTTGTCTTTAATAAGGAATCGCATTATAGGGAACTTCTGCACAAACTTCATTTTACTCTATATATAGATTTCCACACCGCTGAACCGATTTCAGCCAAATTTGGCATGATTGGATAAAACTTCTCAGAAGAATTTGTTTCGAAACACATGAGCTCCTCCTTTCTTATTGCTCGAAACTATCCAACTCGCAGAGTACTGAGCATTTCCGTTCGACGGAACTTAGAAAACAGAAGCCTTGGTTTCCTGTATGTTATAGTTTCTGAGATATTTATTCTTCAGTTTTCCAAAAATAAACGGTGATTGTTTTTAATTCACAAAAGGCCCGGATTTGCATGTTAATTGATTAACTTGTTTGTTTACTATACAATTATTTGATATTAATATGATTAACATGAGCGCTTCAACTTTTCAGTATATTCTCCCCGGAAAACACCGAATGGAGTAGCTGTTTATTTATATGTGTCAGCAAATAAATCGGAGTTGGGAAGGTCCCGCTAAATTACTGCAGTGAGTAGAAATTGGGGGAGGTGCTGTAACCGTTCATTCCAATTGGAGGACTATTGCGTATTAATTATACCTATATTAAGATAATATCAAGTAAATACAAAGAGATCCGGCAGATAGCCGACTCTTACACGCAGAAGGGACATAGTTCAAGTTTTGCTATGTGAACAGGAAGTAACATCTGGTACTTTCCTGGAATTCTGGCAGTTTCAGCAAAGTCGGAAAGTCTTTGAGAATTTGAGAGCTGACAGCTTGGGACAGCTATAACTTAGAATTGGGATGGCCGGAGCCTCATCCCATGGTCGTAATGCATCAAGGGGCTGTCAACCTTAGCGTCAGGTCAGCATCTGCCAGAATCACATAGCAAAGCAACATGATTGGAAATTAAAAATTTAGGAAACCTCCTAGTTTGAAAACTTGACCAATGGCAAAAGTGGAGGAGTGGATTTCTCCTGGGGTCTGGGGTTCGTTGACCTCAGGATTCAGAGAGAGTGCATTCCACCTCAAGGAGTCTTCATACAACTTTCGGCATAGTCGGACACAAAATTACAACTACGTCCCTTCCGTAAAAGTATTACAAGTAAAGTTCTAAATAAGTGTTATTAATAGATTCATTTGTATTCAGTGAGCTGGAGGGAATTATATGATTACTAAGTGCAACGGTCTGAAGAGGTGTGTGTTATTGTAGTGAAAGATTCTTCCTGCCCTGCCCGAGCCAGACCCGTATAAGACCCGGGATATGAACTCAGCTCTACCAATTACCGAACAGAACCCGGATACTCCCGTCTTTACCTACTCGCGAGACACCTAAGGGTGTACAGGAAGCGAGCTCTCGCCTACCAGCTCCAACAACCACAGTTCTCCTCCCTTCCCACCTAACTTCTCGACATCCACGAGAAGAGGGAGGACGGTGATAAGTGGAGCACAACGTAGGATCAAGGAAGACGGTTACAATGCTGATAGGGAGGTTGGCGGACACTCCTATGGATGGGAAGAGATCATGACTGGAAATGGGCTTAGACGCGGGAAAACGCCATCTTGATTAATTCCAGAGTGCTTTGTTTCACGAAGTTCTTTCCAATGCCCCAAGATGTCATGATCATAGCTCCCAACAGCGTGGCGTGAAGAAGCGAATTCATGAACCTCCATTGTAATAACTAGGGCCCGGATTTTGATGACCCGAAAATATTTAAAAAAATACCTAAAATATGACCCAAAAATGTAATATGCAGGGCTCGGATTTTGATAACCTGAAAATATTAAAAAAATGACCGAAAAAAATCCAGAAAAACGACCTAAAGGAGAAAAGAAAGAACACTTCGCGTCCATGTTATTCACATTTCAGAAAACATATGAAGAAAAAACCCTAAAATGGCCCAAAATGACAAGAAATACCCTTAAAAGTCCAAAAAATTACCTTAAACCTAAAAATGTCAAAAAAATGACAAAAATTACCCATAAAATTTACACCTCTGTAACCAGCAGCTCATGCCCGAGATTTATATATTTAAGAGCATTGCATAGGATACAAGGAAAAAAAGATGACATGTCATCAAAATCCGGGCCCTGGTAATAACTTTCTTTGGTGCGTCTGGATCTGGATAAAATTACATTCATTCTTTGCGTCGTAACTCTGGGTTCTGTGGACGTTTTCGGTCCCTCTGTTTTCAATTCTATATTACCCAGTGAATTGTTTGTCGAGGAATTGCAATGAATGGTTCAGTACACCTTTCCTATAAAAGCCATTTGTAAGATGTGTCACTTTATGTTATGACTGTTTCACTGGGCTCTTATCGGAAGGTCGCGAGTTCAAGTCCCGATGTGGTCATTGGATTTTTTTCAATTGACCTAATCCTTCCAGCCACACTGTGGCCCTGGGGTTGACCCAGCCTCTAACAGAAATGAGTACCAGGAATGAATTAAATCATTTTCCTGGGGAGTAAAGCGCGTCCGGCACGTAAGGCTGACCGCCATCTTTGAGCCGATTGTCTAGATTAAGGGTCTCAAAACTACGGCCCGCGGGCCACATGCGACCCGCGATGTGATTTTATCCGGCCCGCGAAAGAATTGTGCAGAAATGCACCAGTTGAACTAATTTTCCAATGAGTACTCGTAAATGTGATTCCGAGCTTATTGACCTGACATATTATACTGCAGTTCGATGGCTTAGCTGTGGAAAGGTTCTTTCGCGCTTCTTTCAGCTCAGGAATGAAATTGATATATTTCTTACCGAGAAAAACCATAACGAACCACTTTTATCAGATACCAAGTGGCTTTGGAAATTAGCAGTTTTGCTGATCTGGTAAACCATATGAACCATTTGAATTTAAAGTTGCAGGGTGAAAATAACTTAGTCTGTGATTTATTTGCACTTATCAAGGCATTCAGAGCAAAGTTGATACTTCTGGAAAGCTAAGTGAAAAATTGTAACTCTGTTCATATGCTATACTGTGCAGAGTTGCATAAAAAGGGTGAAGCAGAATTTCCTTCCTCGTTTGCAAATTTAGTCATTTTAGATTTGAAAGAACAATTTCGGAAGCGATTTGCTGATTTGGATTCCAGTGCTCAGGAAATTAGATTGTTTCAAAATCCGTTTGACTGTGATGCTGCAGATGTCCCAAGTCAAATTAAAATGAAAATTATTGAACTTCAGGAAAATTATCATATTAAAGACAAATACAAGGAAGGAAATTTGATCGAATTTTATAAATTTCTGAACTCTGAGCAATTTCCAAATTTAAAGAAATTTGGTTGTAAATTTATCTCCATTTTTGGGACGACGTATCTGTGTGAACAAACTTTTTCCCAGATGAAGTACATCAAGTCGAAATACGGGAAAAATTTATCCGATGAACATTTAAAGTCGCTGCTTGTGATTAGCGTTTCAAAATTTGAACCTCAATTTAATCAAATTTTAAGAATGCAAAAAGAGTTCCATCATTCACATTAATTGTTTTATTATAATTTGTGATCAAAATGTGAGCATTTGTTGCTACTGTCTGTTGTAATTAATATACGATAATTTATTCTCACGTACTTTGTATTTAGTTTATGAAATTCTGTGCTTTCAATAAAACTCATATACCTAGAGTTATTAATTTCTCATTTTATCCGGCCCGTTGAAAGTGCTGAATTACCTAATGTGGCCCGCGGTTCGAAAAGTTCGGAGACCCCTGGGTTAGATAATGTGGGACCCTCAACGTCTCATAATCCTATGGGCCTTCACTGCCTGGTACAGGGATAGCTTTACTTTTACTGTATTTGTACTTTTTTGGATCTTCTGTCAAATTCTGAAAAGCAATTGCTACATCCGGAAGGGATGTCAAAATATCTGCGAACAATCTGAAAGCTCAAATAGCTGTCGTTCTACCCTTAAATCCATAATCTGTCTTTCTGACAAACATACTGGATCCTTTCCTTTTAAAAGGCGTGAAAGAGATGAAGATTAAAATCATTTCAAATATCTGAAAATGCTGCTGTCTCGGAGTTCCAGCACATACGTCTGTCTCTGTGAGATAGAAATGGGAATGATGAAAATGTGACAGCTATTTTGGGCATTGCCCATCATCTTGGGATATCCTAACACAACGTTTCTGAAACCGGATCTGTTGCCAAAAACATCTTGTTTAAAAAAAATGCAAGGCAAAGGGCATAGTTTCGGATAGTGGATCTGTTTCCGAAATATCGCGTTTAAAAAGACTCAATATGACATGCACATGTCCGAAATAATGGTAGTGTTCTTTTGTAAGGCACCGTCGTCAGGAACAGTTAGACTAAAGGGTAACAGAGGTGCTCTGCATGTGTCAGCACCAAGTGCCTTACGCGTATGTAAGAACGTAACTACTTCATAGCCACGTGAACTAAACACTGGTAATTCTGTTCATTTCAGGCCCTCCTGGTCCACCAGGCAAACGAGGAAAGAAGGGGAGGAAAGGTGACACCGGGGAACCAGGAGCCGTGGTAAGGGCAAGATGCTGATACCGTCTGAATTAACCCGATGATTGTACGCTTTGTTTCACTGGAACACGCTTTCATTTCAAATTATTTATTCGCGATAAAACTTCATAAAAGAAGGAAAAAAAACTATTTTTGTAGGCCATTACTGAGTTTTGTTTCTTTTCCTCTTTTTCAGGGTCCCATTGGTCCACCGGGGAAGAACGGTTTTCCGGTATTTTATTTTATATCCTAATTATCCCTAAAGTCATAAACACTTAGTTTACAAATAAGTTTTTAGTAAACGTAGCTGTATTTTTATGACACTTACAAGCCAAGTTTTGAAAAACAAAATTCTTATATATCATATTTATCTTAGTTTATAAATTGGCTTCCAAATATTATGTGCATATAATTATGTTAATATGCAAATTATATATATATATATATATATATATCACTCTTCAGGTGACAGGTACTGGGAAATTTTATGATTAGGAGATGAGGACATAATGACAACTGATTAGAGTGGGAAATTTTGTTGTTATGAAAGGACCTGACGACTGAGAGTACTGCGAAATTGCACCTCTAGTCTCGAGAAACCCACACATACCTGAAACATGCATAATTTTTGTGACATGTGGGTTTGTTGGAAGACTTGTAACAGTCTATACTTCTCAATCTGGAAGAGGCAAAGACTTCTTCATTTGTGACAAAACTTTTCATGTGCACGTGCAGGAAACACAGATGTAGACTAAAACTTTCAAATGATCATTAAGAATATACATCATTTTTGTATTTGATGTTCTCATGGTGGTGAAAATTCACACTGGAGTCTCCGGGTTATGACACTGCACAGCCTGGTAGGAGTTTACTAAAGTTCAGAGGAACATGCTGCCTCCATCTTCAGGGTAGAATGAAGATGGACGCAGCATGGTGTCCGAACCGTTGGTAATAATCTACCAGACTCCCTTGTCGGAAACAAGGAGACAAAAATATGAATACTATACACCTATTGTAATATTTTAAAATTGGCAAGAACATTATAAAATTACGTTTTTGCTCATGAAACTATCTTCTCAGATGATATCAGATGCTTTCATCATGCAGGTCTACGAATAATGACCCACTTTGTTCGTTACAAGGCATACCTCATTCAAATATCTGGGTTGAGTACTGCACTGATGCTCTTTCACACAATTACAGAAATTCTTCACAAAGACATTTATTTTAATTAGGAAAACATTAGCCTTCCAGATAAGATGAACTACTTAGGTGACTACGAAATGAACGTACACATTGTGTCTACATCCATCTTTACACGTTTATCATGTGCATGTTTTGAAGGCATGTTTGTTACTGAGAACTGTTTAAAATTCCAACCTAAAGTAACACGTTTTGACCCCGTCACTCTCAGGGCTGCCATGTCTGTGGAAGGCTACAATTGATTTATAAAATCTGGCCTCATTTCACAAAGTGTTCTGCAGCAGCCAACGATTTTTCCATTTATGTGGAAAGTACCATATTGTCATTTTCATCACGAACCCCATGATTAAGTTTCTTCTTTCCAGAGCCACTTAACACAGTGATGACCGGATATCAGTTTTTAACCCCCCCCCCCATGTGGACCGGATTACTTTACCAGTATTATTGAAAATGCAAACATTCATATAAACGATTATAATTACTAATGTAGAGCAGGTATCATAATGAAATTTAAAATGAGAATTCACCAAAGGTGTTAGTATTTCATCCAGGCATATCATCTCTTGAAGTAATCTCCTTCATGAGGGGGACTTTGCATGTGTTCATATCTGGTGTCTTTAGGTTTTTTGTGAGCCACACAACCTCTGCAAAGTTTCTGTGGATAATTCTTTCTTCCAAATGAAAAATTGTATAAAGATTGTGCTCTTTCATGTCTCCTGACTGCCTTCCAACAAGATCTCTTCTTGGTTCATCTGGGGTTGGAGGACCAGGATCATCGTCTTTATCAGTTGCTTCTACGTTGTCTTCATCGTGTGTCTGTTCGAAGCTCATTCCTGCCCAAAAATATAGCACGTGAAGTAGAAATATTTGTACTTCAGTCTTGATCCTGGGTTCTGCAACTTGTACGTGCTAAAGGAATTGAATATTATACAAGTGATTAGCCAGAGCACAGCCTTTTGCTCCAATTTATGGCTCTTTTAGGGTGGTACAACAAGGTAAATACTGGTCTGCTCTGCCAGCACCCTTCATGAACTTGTTGTACTCCATTAAAGAGGTTGACTTTTAATATTTCCCTAAATTTGTTGGTGACCTCTCCATTGCTGCCATTATATATTGCACTAATCATGTTGACCTTGCTATTATCCTTCCAGATGTGAAGAAGAACGTCCCTTTTCTGACGATATATAGCATCGTTCCTTTTTAGCTTTTAGAAGAGTCAGCCGATGGCTTTGGAATCCCCCTGTTGGCCCTGACTGTTCTGCAAACTCTTGTCTTCTTTGGGAGTAGCTTATCTGCAATTTTGACTATTTTATTTTTTTATTGCTAGTGGGGTGGGACTAAGCCCCTTATACTGCGGCCACTTCTGGCCTATTGTACCAGCCCCAGCTGATAGGTGAGGGTGATTGCGGAGCAACTGGTGGAATGAAGATTGGCAGGGGAAACCGAAGTACTTGGAGAAAACCTGCCCCAGCGCCACTTTGTCCACCACAAATCCCACTTGATGAGACCCGCGATCGAATACGGGTCACCGCGGTGGGAAGCCAGCGGCTAACCGCTTGAGCTATGGCGCGAATTTTGACACTGTTATAATAGTTATCCTGGTAAACATGGTGCCATAGGCCGATGTAAGTCTCGAGGACAGAAGCGGCGGTCGCTCAATCGGTATCATTCGCTTGCGGACTAAATCCACGGAGTTTTTTTTTCTAATGCACGCTGTTGACGTTACCCAGGGTCGGAATCTTCTTCCCTGTCTTTTGTTATGTCGAAAACAGTTTCAAGTTAATATTTTATAACTATTTTAATGATATTTATGTCTTATTTTGATTATGAATAAAATGTTTTGTACAATAAACTGTTTCTGATGGATAAAATTAAAGTTCAGTGCCAACTAAGATCAGTTTTGTTGGACAGCTTCTAATGAAACTCAATATACGACTTCATCCAAATTCGATTAGCGGTTTCGCAGAGGAAATATCGGACGAACAGACGCGTTTATTTTGTCCACTTTCTGCAAAGAACGCATACAAAAACTAGTTACCTTCCAAGGGGCTACATATAAGTTGCAACCTGTGCTCACCTGTACATGTATGCAGTGTTATATGAACGGCAATAATCACAGGCAAGTAATAAAGGTGTTAGTAGGTTACTACTAATTGTATGAAGAACTTAGAATACCCACTCTGCTTTGAATGCTTCCTATCTGGATAAAAAGTGGAGTAAACTTACTCGTATACGCTGAACGTTATACTACATTATGCTACGTACAGATTAGCAATACAGGTCTAATCTATAGGGACTTTCGGCTACTGTAACGCTCCCATAACCGGAAACTATTATTAAAATAGTATCAAATATAACAGTCTCATTAGATCTGAGATGCTCTCGTCAGGAATTATTGAGATTACTCTTGTGTGGAATGTGATACCATATAATTTGTTGTATACAGAATGACGGCATATGATTTTTAGTTTCGGAAATTTATTTTGAAGCAGCTGGCTAAGATAGAACATCGGGAAATTTAGTCATCGACTGTAACTGTCAAAGTCTATTTTACCCTATGGAGGTGTACGATGTATGTACCATTGGTAACTCTGTATACAAGAAGTGTGCATTCAAGTTCTCTCCATACATTTTATAGCAAAGTGAGCATTTTCTTTACATAAACAACCTATCACACAGAAATATTTAAAAAATGCATAATGTTAAAAGGTGAATATGCTCCAAAATCCGTCGCACAGCATCGTTGCACAGCTTTCATACATTTGCTTTTGTTAAGCCTCTTAGCTTTGTCAGAGGGCTCAGAGGCGTCTCTGTTTTCTTCACTGCAGTGCATCTGTCGGAAAACCATTGCAACTATACAGAGTGTACACGAAGTCCGGGAACACTTTAAATTATTTATTGCACAAGAACTACAGACATCATATACTCGTACGTGTCATTTTGAAGAGAACTCTGAAAGTTTGTTACGCCAATGCGCGTAATTCCATTATTTGCCGATAGTTAGCGTTAGTTGCAAACATGGCGACTTCAGGTGTCGAGAAGGCTTTCTGTGTGTTAGAATTAGACAAAAACAAGTGCGCTACACATGTGCAACGAAAGTTTAGGACCAAGTATGGTAAGAACCCATCAACCAGGAAGGCAATTTACAACTGGCACAAGAAATTCATGGCTACAGGTTGCTTGTCCCCAGAAAAAAAGAGTGGACGTCCTGGTGTGAGTGAAGGGGATGCGGAACTTGTAAGAGCATGTAAGAGAGACATTCACGTGGAGTCCGAGGAAATCAGGGCGTCGAGCGTCGTGTGAACTCCAAATGTCCCCAAAGACAGTGTGGAAAGTTCTGCGCAAGAAGCTGATTATGAAGCCATTCACACTGCAGCTACTGCATAAGCTAAATGACGACGACAAAGGCAAGCGCTTTAAGTTTTGTTGTCAGTTTTGTAACAATTGGCAGAAGATGACGATGGGTTCGTGAATCGCTTAATTTAATATCACTCCGCGTGATTTTTTCTATGGGGACATATTAAAGAGATGGTGTATCAGAGCTCAAGGAGGGAATCCGGGAAGCGACCGCTACAGTCGACGAGGCCATGTTGGGAAGGGTATGGCAAGAATTCAATTCCCGTGTGGACGTGAGTTTCTCTTAAAAATGACACCTATATGATGTCTGTATAATTTGTAGTTCTTGTGAAATAAATAATTTAAAGTGTTCCCGGACTTTATGTACACTCTGTATTTGCACTATTAGGCTAAAAGCTTAAACAGTTGTAATCTAATGTTAGAATATTCGGGTGTATTATCTTGCCTTGCGAAATTATAAAGATCATTTGTGCTCTCTTTGTATCTACCAACATTTAGACGGAACCTACTGCCTCCATTTTCCTACCCTGAAGATGGAGGGAGCAAGTTCCATCGAAACCTTGGTAAATATTTCCAGATTATAAAGCATCGAATCATAGGTGACGAGAACTTTCATACGAGTCCGGTGTGTATTCTCTTCAGAGCAAAAATGTTAACACACTTCAAAAAATTCACGTTGTTCACTGCCACAAAATCGAAGCACACGTATTTTTGCCTCCGGCATGTTTCTTTTTAATTTTCGACAAAAGAGGTTACCGTATCATTTACTTATATTTTAAGAATTTATCATTGTACCGAATTTTATAATTCTGCATTTATAGAAGTTGCCAACTCTCTAGAAATTAATGCATTCTCATCTTGGTGTACTCGTTGATATATCGGTCATGGAAAGGTACAGCGACAGAATGGTCTCGTGTTTCACATTCAACGTCGCCAACCCTATGTCCGCAAGCCCCTTGATGCCTAAGAGTCGACGCTAGCTCAATTTCCGCCCTAGGCGTGAAGTAAATCCACGCCGCCCTTAATTCAAAACGGATCATTCTGTATAAAATTTCATCGTTTACGCTGCCGCGTAACATGTTTAGGTGGTTGCCAATTAATGGTCACGGCATAAACAAAAGCACAACAGAAATTAACGAAAAACGATACAAAAGATGCCGCCTCTAAAATCGTGTGGACCAGGGTTCGCCTGTGTTGGTCCCACCCTGTTAATGCTCTTGGAAGTATCATCATGAGCTCTCAAGAATTTAAAATATTCATAATAATTTCCTACTTGTTTGCTGATGATAACAAAACTTATTTATGTTCCATTTACCAGTTGTGTTCAGGTGCCACACTATTATTATTATTATTATTATTGCTAGTGGGATGGGACTAAGTCCCTCGTACTGCGGCCACTTCTGGCCTATTGTACCAGCCCCAGATGATTGTGGAGCATTTGGTGGAATGAAGATTGGCAGGAGAAACCGAAGTACTCGCAAGGAAACCTGCCCCAGCTCCACTTTGTCCACCACAAATCCCACTTGACCAGACCCGGGATCTAACCCGGGCCACCGCGGTGGGAAGCCAGCGACTAACCGCTTGAGCTATGGCGTGGCCCTTGGTGCCACACTAACTGAGAGGTTCAAAAACCAACAAACTCCGTGGTTTCAGTCCGCAAGCGAACTATACCGACCGAATGGCCGCAGCTTTTCGGCGAAGTTAGTACCAACTGTAGCGGATAGAGGGTGTCGCGTGGTCAGCGCAACGAATCCCCAAGGCCGTTAATCTCGATTTTCTAGACCGGTGCCGCTATTTCCTTGAAATAGCTCCTTATATATCCTTACGAGGCTGAGTGGACCCTGTTCCAGACCTACTACTGAGAAAACCTGGGAGCGCCGAGAGTTTATAGTGCAAAAAATGGTAATTTATCTAAGAAAATGACAGTATTCATTGTGTATTTTTATGAGACACAATGTATCAAAAAGTGTTTTTATAATCATTTCTTGGTAGATTGACAGCGCCTATTATAAATTATGGATTAAGCTTCTCCTAATTGGACGTTAATCACTAAAGGAATGCCATTATTGAAAATTCATGTTAAGTTATTATGTAGGACATACACATAAACACACACAGACAAAGAGACACACACACATAATTGTAACTGTTCATTTTTACTTTCTCTTATGACCTTGAAAACGTCTGACAGGATTTGTATTTTATAACATGTTAAAAATCATTATGATATGGAAGGGTTATACACAGCCGGTCTTAGTGGCCGTAATTTTAGGACATGTGAGTTTGGAGCTGTAGTTTCTAATCCAGCTCACATCAAAAGCAATTATGTTTATTTTGCTCACTGTAGGTCATCCAGTAACCAAGGTATCATGCTGTATGTCGAATACTTGGGAGGTTTCATTCACAAAGTGCCATATTATGAAAAAATAAGAAATGAGTGATTTAGGGGGAGGACATAAGCCCTATTTTTTTTCTGTTAATTTTGTGAAGTTTAGGTGAATTTTCCTCAGTAACCACTCTCTCTGTGGTTATGAAATTTGCCTTACATGTAGCAAGGTTTCTCTCCATCTGCTGACTTTTTTACTGTGATTATAAATCATTTTTTTAAAGCTCAATTTGAGGAAATCATACAGAAAAACTATTAAAATATATTTACAAATAAATCACTGTAAAAATCAGCATATAGACATGCCAAATCTCATAACTGTGTAGTGTATAGTATCTTAGAAAAATGCATAAATTTAAATTGTATGAAATTAACATGGGTCAAGCGGTAGCATAGTTAGTTGAGACACTGTGCTAGAAGCCAGAAGATCACGGGATGGAATCTCGATGAGGTGAATTTTTTCAGTTTACCTAATCTTTCCAGCTGCACTATGGACGTGGGGTCGACTCAGCCTCTAACAGAAATGAATACCAGGAATATTCCTGGGGGTAAAGGGCGGCCAGCGCGTAAGGCTGACAACCTCACCGCCATCTATGAACTGATTGTCTAGAAAATGTGGGAGCCTTAACATCTCACAACCATATGGGCCTCCACGGCCTGTTGCAGGGATACCTGTACTTTACTTTTTTACTTTATGAAATGAACATTGTGAAGATAGATCGTATAATCTCCCCTTAATACACACTTCTCCATGAAAAATCTTTTCTTCCTTGCCATACCATGTCTTTTATAGAATAGGGCTTAGTAAATCAGAGTGTAAATCCATGTCTGATATCTGGTTTTGTGATTTCATCTGTGACCCAACAATTGGCTGGTTACACAGTAAGGAATATTTTTATAGATCTTATAATCTCCCCTAAATACACTCTTCTCCATGAAAAATCTTTTCTTCCTTGCCATACCATGTCTTTTATAGAATAGGGCTTAGTAAATCAGAGTGTAAATCCATGTCTGATATCTGGTTTTGTGATTTCATCTCTGACCCAACAATTGGCTGGTTACACAGTAAGGAATATTTTTAACATTACCTCTTCTGTCTTCCTTGGTGGTGAATTTCCTCCCCTTTCTTGGAGTATGGAAATTTTTTTGAGCATACATTGCAGTGCATCCTTTCAAATTGATATTCCAAGCCAGTCTTCATCCACTAATTTTACTGACACAGAATCTTTTGAATTATCTCACACTAATTCAAAATCTGAATTGAATTTTCAGCAAGATACATCTCTTTGTAAGCTTTTTCAAAACTTTCACACAGCAACTTCTGGGGCACCAACTGTTTGCATAAAGCATTGTTATGGTTGTCCCCAGGCCTTCCAGCCACCTGACAGGTCTTGAATGAACTACATACAACAACAGCAAGTATTTTAATATCTGAAACTGCATATAACAGTAGGCCAAAGAATCAGTGCAAAACATGGAATTTTATGTTAAATGTAGTTTAGGTTAAATATGTTATTTTCATGACTTACATAGCAGACTTGGAGCATCTATATGATGAAATTTGGATTCTCATTATAAACAAAGAACACAGAATGAGGAAAAAAGGCTGAGGAATTTACTTGTACCTTGGAGAGATGAAGTATAAAAACTGGAGGAAATTATATAAAGGGAGTTTGTAATTTTTGCTCTCCATGTGATAGATGGTGATTCTATTAAGAAAGATAGCCAAATGTGACATACAGCAGCCATGAAATAATGAAACAATTCATTAATAACCATGGTCTGAGAACCTCAAGGGAAGAGACTTCTTGGGAGACGTAGACATAAATGAGAGGGTAGTATTAAAAAAGGGGTCTGTGTAGTCAGAGTCCGCCGATAATGCAACAGTTGTTTATTCACCACTTAACACTTAACACAACATGTTTTGGCCATAGATGTCCATCTTCAGGTGTTTTTATATGTCCAACTGTTACACTGTTCTGAAATGCGCTAAAATGGCGCATTAAAAGACCTGAAGATAGCCATCTATGGCCGAAACATGTTGTGTTAAGCGTTAAGTGGTGATTAAACAATTGTTGCATTATCGACGGACTGTGAATACATTGACATTTGGTTGAAGATATGCAGCAAGAGTCTGAAATACAGAATTAAAAAAGGGTTCTTATGGGAACAGAGTTGGTAGGTGTGAACTTTGTTTGTATTTAAGTGGCTGTGGATAAGATCCAGTGGTAGGCTTTTGAAAATGTGGTGATGTGACTTTGGTTTCCCTTAGAGTGGGGTACTTCGTTCACCAACTAAATGATTATAGCTTTTTAACAGTCATAAGCATTTAGTGTAAAGAACCTGAATATAAATTAAATGTTATTTGTAGTTTCTTGTGGGACAATGTAAAGTTGGATAGAGGTGTGGAACAAATAGGAGGAAACCTGCCAATCGGAGATGATAGGGTTTTGAGGAGTCTTGGTGCTGTAGCAGCAGTGTTACATGTTTACTCTTTTTACGCACCTTTTGCCATGATATTTATTATTAATATTTTAAGATGAAAGACATTGTAAATTGAATCAATCAGGACCCTTGAACTACAAAATCAGAAATCACACTCTCTAATCCAACCTGTAGACCCATTACTATGAGAGAAATTATAAATACTCTATCAAAATATCTCACCTCATAATCTCATTCTTTAATTTTAACAGCTGTTCTCATTTTGGCTGTTAACAGTCGATGTTGATTTTGGGTGTTTGAGCCTCCAGCTGAATAACAGTTTTTGTAAGGGGACTACAAAATGGTTGAAATAGTTCTGATATTTTTCTGATTGTAATAAATTGTTTACTCTAGGAATATAATAATGAATTATAAACTTACTGCATATTCAGACACAAGTTCATTTACCGATGTTAATCAGTGAAGCATATATGACTTTGTACTGCAACTAATGTTACAGTCAGATTATTTTCAGATGTTAAATCATTATTATCATCATCTGCAATCGATTCTACAACTAAAGACTCATACATGCACATCATTATTATTAGTTTGCTGTGTTTCCAGGGACTAAAGGGACATAAAGGCGACAGAGGAATTATGGTAAGATTTTCTTTCAAGTTTGTTATGTCGAATGTATTAAGATAGTGGCCATTGCTGTTCAAATGAACTAAATTCAAAGGAAGTTTTGAATGAATTTCACTGGTTAAGTAAATAAATTCCATAGATTTTAACCGTTGTTTTAAAATATAGTAATGTGAATGTGGAAACACATGTTAATCCTACTGTCGACTTGTAACTAGCAAAGTGGTTACCATATATTTGTTAGAAACCCAATAAATATTATCTCAAATATTTCAGTTTTTTTAAGAAAAAATGATAGACCTCTGTATCAAACAGCTGAATAAAATTTCCTGTCTTTCCTTCCCATCTTATAGGTCCACATATTCTTTCATATTCCACATATTCACTGGATGGTTGAGGCTAGCTCTTTCTAACGGACCCAACAGAATAGGTGTTTTCCTTCACCTGAGGATGGAAACAGATCCAGTTTCTGAAACGTCGTGTTTTTATTAGTTATCTTAAAAACCAGGACGATGGATAAAGTCCAAAAACCCAATATATCAGTGTATACATATTCATATCTCACTGATATAACAATTTGACTTCTATCTGCACGATAAGAACACCGCAGCAAAAGAAAACCAAAAATGTAATACATATAGTAACAAGATAATTACGTTAGAAGATAAATAAAGGTTTGCATATCTCATGTTGGAAAAGTAATATTTTATATTACACTAAAATGAACCAATTCGAGACTTCTTTTACTGCTGCATTTAGTAACTGCATCATTCCTACTGGACATGTTAGGTGGGTCTCTTGTCACCACAGCATGGTGCATCCTCAGGTTGTGGATGGAGGAGACGCCCTCCAAGTATGGAGGGAAGCTGCTAATATATTGAATAAACAATAACGAACAGCCAACAATTGGTGGTCCTCCAGCTTGGGGGTTGATAAAATTGATGATATAAAGGACAGGTTCTCTGAAGAACTAGAACATGTATTTGATAAATTGCCGAAGTACCCTATGAAAATTTTGTTATGAGGTACCATTGTCAAAGCAGGCAGGGAAGACAATTTCAAACCAACGATTGGGAATGAGAGTTTGTATGAAATTAATAATGATAATGGAGTTAGAGTAGTAAACTTTGCCACATTGAAAAATCTTACTGCCAAAAGTAAAATGTTCACACATCGTAACATCCATAAATTTACTTGGACATCTCCTGATGGGAAGACACAATCAGATCGACCATATTTTGATAGACAGGAGATGGCATTCAAGTATGCTTGATGTCCGATCATTCAGGGCAGCAGATTGTGATACTGACCAGCACCTGGTGGTGGCAAAGGTTAGGGAAAGACTCGCAGTGAGCAAAGAAACAACTCACAGAGTTCATATGGAGAGGATTAATCTCAAGAATTTAAATGAGGTAGAGGATAAAGAGCGGTATCATGTTGAAATTTCAAGTAGGTTTGCGGCTTTGGAAAACTTGGACACTGAGGCGGATGTTAATAAATCTTGGGAAACTGTTAGACAGAATGTAAACATTTCTGCCAAAGACAGTCTAGGTTCACAGAATTACTGGGGTTTTGGACTTTTTCCATTGTCCGGAATTCTAGGTCATAGAGGACATGACATTTCGGGAACTAGATCTGTTTCTGTCTTCAGGTGAGAAAGGAAGACACCTACTCAGATGGGCCCCTTAGAAGGAGCTAATCTCAATCACTGGATCCAGTGATTTGATTTGATAATTTATGGTACAACTTAATTCCCATATTCACTATGCCTTACATAAAACCATTTGTTCTACAAAACTGAGCATGGAGGTGTAAGTTCAAATGGTGTATTATCTCAGGTATATACATGGAAAGTACTGGAAGTGTATTTAAATCCCCAAAAAGTTACCTACATGACATATATCCCCTTACACAACTGATTATTTGTATAACCTGATTTGTAATTTAAAATGCTTTTCCTTTTTAGTCACCATCCCAGAAAGTTAAACCATACCTCTTATGAATATGAAGATATGAAAAATAAATACCCCTTATAACATGTTATCTTGTTACATCCTTTAGAGATATACTCCCATAAAAAACTTATAACACAAAATACCAAGTTTGGAGTTTAAGAGTCCTTACATATGCAACCCATTTCATATATTCACAAATATGTAATAATAAATCACATTACTCTTTCATTCTTATCTTAGTATGTACATATTCACAGGCTCTTTACTCTAAGTGAATACTAATTCGTAGCTGAATTTCATGTGGGATCATTCTTTCTAGATCTTGCTCCAGTATTTTAACTGGAATATACTACCTGAGAATAGCAATGACCACCATAAATAAGTAATAAATTAATGTTTGCCTAGCATCCATAACATATAACACACCATTACTGGTTGTGAATTGTATATGCATGAGCAATGCTTGATAACAGCAGCTTCATTATGAAACTAATCGCGTTTAATGCCTGGAAAGTAGGCTCTACTTTTGGTGAATGTAAATTAATTCTTCTGTTCCAGGGACTGGGTGGACTGCGGGGCTACCCGGGCTTTCCGGTTGGTTTTTATTTTATATGAACCATACAATATGCTGTTATGATGTATTCTATTTTTGCACAAGAGTTACAGTAATATTTTTATTGTATTAACACGTATAGTGTTGGAGAATGATCATTTCAATAGAATGCAAAGTTGTTACCACATAAATGTACTACAGTAGACTTTTGATTATATGACGTGATTTGACCATCATTCATGAAAGCCTTTATAATTATTTCTTACAATCTAGAACATTTGGCAAAATTTTGTGCAACTGATGATTTTGATGATGTTTTCATTTTGTATTGCAGTCAAGAAAAAAGTACTCTTGAAGTTTTATATAATTTATGGATTTACCTTAATGATGATTCGAGCAAATTTAATGCTCAGGACCCTACTTTGGTTGTAGGTTCCATTCTCATAATGCCCACTGTCCTGTAACATTACAAGACACCTAATTAAAATTTATATACAAACAAATTTTAAATGCAGGTATTGTTTTCTATGAACATCATGTTTCTTGGTCAGAATAATCAAGAGCCTATTGCAGTCATGTGAAGATAAAATATGCTGAAGTTCAGTTTAAAAAATAGGACTAAAATCGCCTGAGATTTCTATTATTGCATCTAAAATGGCAGGTTCTTAATAATAGTTAAGAAAACAGGAATAATATACATGTCTAATCAAGTTGCAGGAAGAAGAAAATTATTTTTATTTCTCACAACAAAGTACCTGAATTAAATTAATCAAATGTTCTTCAGATAAAGTCAGCATAATGATTAAATCATGGCCTTAATTCTGTCTAATGCTTTCTGTATTTCTCTCTGTGTTTGCAGCACGACGTCCTTCCTATTTTCAGGGACTGGGTACTCCTACTCGCTGTGCTGTTTCTGATTGTAGTGTGATGAGGTTCTTGTACATGAATTATTTGTAACTGCATATTAACATCTAACCATCATTCCAAAGTAACACCTAATATTTGGAAGTATAGTTATTTCTGGGCAATAATTTATAAATGGCTTGTATAGTTCTTGTACACCTTGCTTTATTTCTATTTGTCTGTCTGTTAATATCAGTATTTCTGCATATTTATTGAAAGGTCTGGTTAAAAAGAATGAAAATATTGGCAAATTACATAAAATCAATCAGTTCATTATGTACGGTAGAGGCAGATTTTCTGAGAGACTGTTGCAAATCTGATAACCAGTCTGCTGGGTGGGACACATGCTAATCACATCACCTTGCACAACATGTGTTTGAGCTTGTAAAATAATCAACAGGCCTAAACACAGTACAAATTCTCTTCAGTATCACCTTTGAATATCTACCATGAAACAAGCTCATGCATTCTGTGTCTGTTGACTGTAATTGCAATCTCTGCTCCGGTATTATACATTCAGCCAGGTATGTTACATTTTTTGCTGACATGTCATGTGAGAGCTACACATTGAAATGAATGTTCATATGTAATACCATTTGAAAAGTAAACAGAAGATTCTGTCATAAATTTAATGATCTTACAGTTGCAAATAGAAGAAAACTATTCCTGCAATTGTAAAGAAATCTAGACAGACAGGGACATTACTGAACAAAAAAGAACAACATGAAGACACAAACGGCTCCAATTGTAAAGAAATGTAGACAGACATGGACATTACTGAACAAAAAAGACCCAAACAAAATCACAAACGGCTCATCGAAGAGAAACTGGTTGAAATCAACACTACTCTTGAACACTTCTCTCAGAATTTTGCTTAAATACCCCAACAGGAGACCAGAGTTTAAAGTTTGGGGGTTTAAGGTTTGTTCTGCTTGTGAAATGAGACTGCAGTGCACAGCTATGGATATTTTACAGAGGTGCAGTGGATGGGAATGTAATAACAGGTACCATTTCTGACATCTGCTGTAATTTGAGTGGGTTTTTGTTTATGATATATTGTCCTATGGGCATATCAGTACACTGTGGATCCAGCAGGAGCTTGCTGCTATTCCACTGGATTGCCAAATGATTTCTGACACACCCTTAAGTAACACAATCTTCCACATGAAATGTGCATGTCAGTCAGTGGTTGGTGTAAAGTTGCGAAACTTCTTCATATCACTATGAGATTTTACAAAATTGATACTGGCTGAATATACTGTAGTACTTTACATTTTCAATTTAAAATATTTCCCAAGAATGTATGCAGCGGGAATACATATTGAAAAACTGTATTTTGCTTTCCTCAGTATTTCTTGATTTAAATGGCTTGTAATATGACAGAACATGAGCATAGTTTGTTTTTTACCAGTATATTGAAAGTTATTGAAGAGATATGCTAACACATCCTTTACAGATAAATTGGCTGAACAAGTATGTCTTTTTAGACGAGACCTTTCAGTTTGTGCTAATTGGTTATATGGTATATTCTTGGGTGTTTTTTCCTTGTGTTGCTTGTATTGCTTAACACAGAATCTAACATTTATGTAACAGTACTTAGTATAGGTTATATTCATTAGTCTTGGCTAGAATATAATACAGTGTTACTACTATGACTCTGTTGTAGTCGGAAAATTCTAATGATTGGTTCCATAAATTGGCAATTCATATGGGAAGCAAATTATGGCCATATAACCCTTTCCTTTGTTTGGTATGCCACTGAGGGATTTAAATTTAAGATTTAAGATAGCTTAAACTGTATAACTGCTTTCAGTCTCAAGAAATTCACAGATTAAAATGGAAATCTAAGTATAATAAAGTACCTAGTAATGAAATGAAAGAGTACTCGCTTATTATATAACAGAAGAATACTATGGTTTCTGTTACATTGTGACCCAAATTGTATAAAAAGTTATTACAGAATGGTGCAAATTGTGCCATTTCTGCTTACTATATATATTTCATTGCAGTCTTTGCAAATTCACATAATAAACTTGATATCTGTAACATGTAGAGGGTTTAGAATTGAGTATTGTTTTTACAGCAAAATTACAGAACCCTAGTGAAGTAGTGGCAGTACCATGCTGTGGTGTATTCATCACAAGGCAATGCACAACCACTTTTTGAAATTATGTTAATGCTGAAAAGTTAGCATTGCACAACTATTTATCATCTATGAGAGCATATTGGACTGACTGTGCATATGGCAATAGTGAGGAGGCTCTTACATTAATGAACAAAACTCTGATATCTATAAATGGTACACAAATAATGTGTTATTCTTAAAAGTATTTTAAAATTTCTGATGAAATGAATAACTGTGAATCTTTCCACTCCTTTCATGGACAGGAAACTACCTTCCATTTTCCCATTGTGATAAAAATATAAATGTAAATTAAACTTCACTATAACCACTCACTGAAGCCCAAAAGACAATAATTTATTCTCATGCTGAATGGATCACAGTAATAACACATGTGCACTTGCAACTGCATGTGCACAAACATAAGCAGACATGCATGTACACTTTAATGACACAACTTATGTTCTTTCGCTGCATGTAATAAATTATGCTTCTATGAACATGACGTAAATGTTATTCTTCATAGAAGCAGCAATAACTATGCAGTGAAGTTTCAAGTATGAATTCTATTAAAATCTGTTAGTCCCCATTACAGATATTCCATGTTCCCTTAGTACCAAGGTACAGTACCACTAATGTTATACAGAATGTGGTGTTAATTGATTTGTAATATTTTCCAAATATAAAAGTAAGCAATTAAAATTAAAAATAGTTAATTCATTAAATAATTCCAAATTTATCCAATCATTCAGAAATGCAAACTAGATGGATATAACAAGAGTACATAAGTATCAAATGAACATTTTAGCAATGGTTTAATCAACTGAAATTCTTTTTATTTTAGGGGCCTATTGGGTTGGATGGTCCAAAAGGAGATCCAGTAAGTATTTAAAGTGACAACCTGTAAATTATTTTTTTTAATTTATAGAGTATTTTAGAAAACTGATTTGTTTTCAGTAGGGTCATGTAATGCAAGATTTTCGGATATGTCACTTTAAGAACAAGCAGATGTTCAAAACACTGTCACGTGATGGAGTGACAATAGACGGGGTTTGGATTGGTAATTGGATTTGTTGAACACTTACAGATCATAACTACAAGTAACTATAGAACTACCATTAATTGACACACTAAGCATTTCCCAGGTAGTCCATTGGTGCATATTATGAATCTGTTGCAGTCATTACTTAGCAATGGCCGTTGTTTATACTCATTATATAGCAATGAGTCTACATGCTACAATACTTGTACTATCTTTCATTAAATTAATATCAATTCATATAGTGACACAGCTACTTCAAGTCCAGCTGTACCACAATCCATCTGCTTCTCATTCTGTCATAAGTACTTACATTTCTTCCAGCAACAGTTCTGATATATGGAAGGGATTATAAAAGATCTTAAGTGATCTTATACTGTACTGATACTGTACATAGTTATATTTTACTTGATTCCACCCCTCCATATTTATGCTTTTGTGAGAAGTGGATGGGACCACATGCTAATGCGGAAGTCAATCTAAAATGTCAATCCATAATCCCAGACTGAAGTTCTGAAAGTGCTCCTTAATATTCGTTTCCTTAAAAAATATAAATGTTATCATGCTATCAAGAGACTCATAAATAAATAAGAGAAATAAGAATAGAATTATCTCTTTGGCAAATAATTGGTGCTATATTTCTTTAGAATTTTATGTTGATGTTAATCTTTACTGTCTGTGTCCACTGAATGGTTTGTCAGAGATAACATCAAGTAAGAACGTAAATATGTTAGATGAATACATCCCAAGGAGGAATTACTAGTCTATTACTTAGATATATGTGAGTTTTATTAAACTGTACTATAATGTAATTTACAAGTTTTATATTCTATGCATTCTGCCATGCATAAATTTCCATGTCATATAGAAAACAGACTACAGAAATATGATCTTTCAGGAGAATATGAGAGATTATTTTCCTCTCAGATGTGATGCTGTGTAGTCTGGTAGATACTAACAGTGTTTTGGAGGAGTCTGTCACCTCCATTTTCTACCCTAAATTTGGGGGGCCGCAGATTCTTCCAAAATGCTGGTAAATATCTGTGATACTACACAGCATCACAGTCAAAAATATAATAATATTTCTAGTCATTGTCATGAGAACCTCATGACTCACAGTAAAAATTTCAAGTTAAAAAATCAAAATTGTACACATATAATTAAGAGTAAACAACTAGAGACACGTTTAGCTCTTCCTCAATAGCAATATTAATTCCAAATGCAAAATTGAATATTTCTTTAGTTATTAATGAATATTTTATAAGCACTGGTTGTTTGTATGGCGAATTTAGGATACAAAAATTCAGTATAGTCAGTTGTCAGATTGCCTCTATATTGTACAAAGTTCACAATTGATCCTTTTTTATCTAGGTAAATTACTGAATCTACCAGACTCATGTCAGGTGTCAGTAGTGGTTGTTAAAGCTTCTTACATCAGTGATTTGCTGTCACGTAATAGAATTCTCCCTGAACCTCCGAAAGTTGACACAACATTTTAGGCTGCAGCTTTCCTCTGGAAATCTGTATGCAGACATTTTACAGCGATGCATTTCATTCTCAGTCTCCTGGCAAACATTTTCATTCAAAAGCTGTTGTCAGAAATCGGACCAGAATCATTAGTTAATGCACATGGCTTGCCTGCCTTTAAGTTATCTTTAATACTCTTTTGGGCACAAAAGAATTACATCCACTGTAGAACTACAGTATAATTGATTACATTACATTACATTACCTTGGATTGCATTGCATTGCATTTGTTAATGTTTTCAGTCCCACTAATTCAGGGTCACTAATTTTGAACTTAGGGATTCAGTTTAAATAAAATATTCTTCCATTACACAGCAAAGATACAACTATGTTCCGTTAACAATATATACCATATAATTTGACATTCTGGGACTGGCTGACAGTCCACTCATGGGTACATGGCTGGTCTTTTATATTCATATACGAAGGGGGACCCAAAAATAACCGGAACCGACCTGTTGCGCGCGCATGCTTTGTAGTTACGAGTTGTGCTGCTAGGTGGTGTTAGCTGGGGGTCTCCTGCGACTGTTAGTGAGCTGGTGTCAGTCTGAGTTAAGTGGTTTGTCTGTGGTGCTCTGTTGTGTGCGTTCCTGTTTCAACCCTTTGGCGATTAGTGAGAATGGCATTGTCCACAAAGAGTTTGTTCCGCCAGGACAAACAGTGAACCAACATTTTTACCTGGATGTGTTACGAAGATTACGAGAGAGTGTGCGACGAAAACGGTCCGAAATGTGGAGAAATGGGAACTGGTTGCTTCACCACAACAATGCTCCAGCCTGTCTCATGTGCAAACCTTCGGTTAAAATTCGCTGGACCATGCTCCATGAGATGTTCGTTTCCTCAGAAAGTTGGTCAATGGTCTTTTGACGATCTTCATCAATTCTGGTCGGCCATCTCACTAATCGCCAAAGGGTTGAAACAGGAACGCACACAACAGAGCACCACAGACAAACCACTTAACTCAGACTGATGCCAGCTCACTAACAGTCGTGGGAGACCCCCAGCTAACACCACCTAGCAGCACAACTCGTGACTACAAAGCATGCGCGCGCAACAGGTCGGTTCCGGTTATTTTTGGGTCCCCCCTCGTATGTTAAGTAAACTGTGGCTTAGGACCTAGAAATTTAAAGGCCTCCAAAAGCTGAGAGAGATTCAGTGAGGAAAATGCAGCACTATCTTTTAAAAGTGAGGAGAAAACAAACAGCTAACCATTTCATCAGATCAGAATAATGTAAATAACATGAACACCTGAGGCAGTCTGAGACAACTTGAGTGAGTTATTGTTAACAGGCAACATGTATGTGCAGTTCCACATTAACAAACTTATATTTCATTTTTATCCACACATACACAGTATGTCCAGGTTCTGTTAGGACTGTGTTCATTAAAAATACAAGACGTGAATTATTTTCAAAATTTCACTCTTTTTATTCAAAATAGTCTCCTTCTGAATCAATACATTAATTGAAAAGTTTTCGAACACAGTCATTGTACTCCTCTTGTGGAATCGTCTTTAAAACTGTGGTACATTCCCTTTGGATGTCCTGGATGGTGTCGTGATGGTCTCCTTTCATCGCCAACTTAACTTTTGGGAACAACCAGAAATCTTCTGGAGCCAGATGTGGTGAATACAAAGGATGATCAAGGACTGTGATCCCTTTTCTGGCCAAAAAATTGCCCACGATCTTCGATTTGTGGGGTGGGGCATTGTCGCGGAGGAGTGACCAGGAACCTTGCTCTCGATATTCAGGTCAAATTCAAAGAATTCAAAGAAGGGCAAAATTTAAAAAAATAAGTCCTAATGGATCCTGGACACACCGGGTATAAATATGAAAATGAACATTTCTTACAATTTAATTAGAGTTCTTCTTAACAAAGTGTAGTATTTCTTTGAAAAACTATTTTGTTTCCTGTTAAATTATCATCTGTCATGAAAAGCTGTTCATTAGCAATGCAATTACAAATCTGTAATATTTGTTAAGCATTCTTTCTGCAGAAATTTTTAAATAAATTATGGTACCCAATCTGAATCATAGCAGAGGTATAACCTGGCCCTCCATACGCAATAGGCTTTAGTCCTGGAATAAACTCAATTGTTTATAAATACATGAAACAGAATCATTGTTTTAGTAGAATTCATGTAAAACAGTGGCCTGTGGCATTTTATTTTGAAGAGATATAAAGAATTCATTAATGAAATTTAAAAATATTTTTCAGAGTGAAATATCTCTAGTTTATAAATCATTTATATCTGATTAGCCTGTATGACCGCAATACTTTTTTGAAACCTACAGTAGAAATCAATTGACACATTTACATAAGAAAAGCTAAATAATTATACTGTATGAGCTTTATTGTTTTTATAATTTTAATATAATTTTGCATTTTCTTGTTTCTTGTGCCTATTTATAGGGCAGACCAGGTGAGAAGGGACAGAAAGGTGAACTTGGAAGTCCAGGGTTTGATGTCTTCTCAGCAGTCAAGGTGAGAATTTAATTTTACTGCTTTCTTGATGGAGCATACCTTTCGCATCAAAAGAGAAAGTGCCCACCTAAGTCATCTTACTCCATCCAATGAGCAGGATCCATCAGCCAATTTTCTTCTTTATTATGTTCATTTCACATAGTTCTGAAAGCCGGGTATATGGTTAAGATAAATAATAGATGTAGTGACCTCAATTATCAAGCCTGATGGAAGGGACAGCCGGTTGCATAGAGCATTAATCATTGGTTATGCAGAGTCTTTCCTTGTTTTCCTGACATTCAAGTTTTCATGCAGTCTTTGATTCATTGCATGAATTTAGTTTTTGATGGAGGAGCCATGTCTGTCAGGCAAAACTTATTTCTAAATTATGACCTCAGATCTAAACACAGGTGAAAACTTGGGTCCAGGAGTGTTGTAATAAAATAGTAAGATTAAAAAAATGTGAGTATGAAGAAGAATCTTTGATATATTCAGATTTAATTGGCAGTTAAGTAGCAACTAATATACTTTCTATTGCAAATTCAATGGATAGCTGCTTTCTTTGTTGTTGTTTGTGAATGGAATATATTTAAATTAAAACATTGGGTTTTAAACATGATGACCTATTGTACCAGCCCCTGATGATAGATGAGTATTGACGCTGATCATTCTGAGCCCTTATTTATTTGGATGATTATAGATGACCATGAAATTTATTTCTAATTAATTCTCGGTAATTTTTAATTTCAAAAGTCTTATGTTTCGATATTACTGGAAATGTATTGTGATCTTTAATATCGTATTTCATTGTCTGGGATTTGCAATACGGTGTTTATATTGAAATTTCTAGATTCTGGCAGGACCAAGGAGTCCGTAGTTCTGACATTTACGAGCAGTCATAAATTTAGCTCGGGTACAGGGAACCTGAGGCGCCTAAAAGGAAGGTCAATGAGAAGGACAGGTCAGAACTTGTTACAGTTGCCTGTGAATGAGGGCCATTATGATTGAGTTGCCTCATTCAAGCTTCCTTAAGGAAGATGGGATGACATGTATATGTCCACACCATGGAGAATTCGAATTCTTTCGAATTCCCGGCGTGGGGTGTACAAGCCATTCCACAAAGGGAGACTTTCACCATATTCCGAAGTGAACGGACGTGACCCTTGCACGCTCCGAGGCCTAGCTTGCAGATCGTGTAACGCTGTAACTTAAAGCATAAGGATACATAAAATTAACAGTGGTTTGGAGAACAAAAAGGTGAATAAATGTCAATTGGATCAACTCCCAGAATACCGCTTTCTTCAGCACCGCTACCCTGAGACTCATGCAAACTGACCCAGCTAGTTTCCCGTACCTATACCGATCTTCCTTAGTTTGATCTGTGAGGACAACTTGCAGTGGCCATCATGCACTCTCCTAAGGTGGAAACAGGTGTAGCAGGGATAGCACCATTCCGACTGAGCTGATTCAAACAAAGGTGGGTTGGAAAAGAGCAGTGTTAGTATGGATGATTGGTGGAATGATATTGGCAGGGGAAGACTGATGTGCTTGGAGAGAAATAAGTTGTTTGTTCACTTATTACTTCACAACTACACTACTGGTCACAGNTTGGTGGAATGATATTGGCAGGGGAAGACTGAAGTACTCGGAGAGAAACCTGCCCCAATACCACTTTATCTGCCATAAATTCCACATGAATTATATTGTAATGTTTATTGATATTTGGAAACATTACTGTCCCACTGTCCATGGTCACTTATACTCTTTGAGATAAGTTGTTTGTTCACTTATTACTTCACAACTACACTACTGGTCACAGTATTGTGCTCACTCCCTTCTCTCGGTTGCCTTGTGCTGCATTGCATTGAACCAGGAATTGAAAAACTTGAAAAGTCATGACTAACTGACTTACTAAGTAACTAACTAGTGCACTGCCTGCTCCTCTTATAAGCACACAACCCATATGGAAAGCTCTATGTTTTTCACATGTGACCTCGGTTTTTCTTGTCAACCACTTGATTTCCTGAAGATTCCGGATGGTATGATTGGCGAGCACAGGCCAGGCAACATGATTGCACCATCCTCAATTCCCATAACATTGTTAAGGCAATAAGAGACTTGTGGGACATAGCATCTCCCATACCTCTCTGTACCAGCATACCCAAATACTATATTAATTGCTAATGACACAGTCGGTATAGCGACTGGCTACAGGCTGGACGGCAAATGGGTTGGAGTTCGAGTCCCAGCAGAGGCAAGATTATTCTCCTCTCCACATCATCCCGACCGGTTCTTGGGCCTACCCAGCCTCCTATCTAATGGGTGCAGGGGGCTCTTTACTCAGGGGTAATGCATCTGTGGCATGTAGCTGAACACTCACCTCAAACAAATGCTGAGGTCAAGTATACATGGTTCTATATGTTGACTCCCCCATACGTCTTCATGATATAGTTCATAATTAATTGTGCGAAGTGACAATTTTTCCTTTTATTTTATATCTTCATCATTTTGCAACAAATTGTGTATCTGTGAGCGCTATTATTCATGTGCTTAATTGTAATTATTTTCTTACCATATTTTAGTCAGTATCATTCATATTACAAATGTATGAAATCATCTATAAAACATTTGTAATAATACTAAAGGAACTCTAGATCTGTAAAATACAAAACACATTTGTATATTTGACTATTTAGAAGGCTCTGCCCTTGAGCATGATTTCATTACAGTATTTATGCATAGTCAGCTCCTGTCAAGTAAATAAGCTGGAAAAAACCAGAGTTATCATATCCTGGAAATCCTGCAAGTGTTTAATGATTCCTGGTGTCAATGCTCAGCACTGTCCACCTTGAAACAATATTGGCTGACAATTGCGAGGTGGCCGGGTACATTGGCAATTGTACGAAGGGGGACCCAAAAATAACCAGAAACGACCTGTTGCGCGCGCATGCTTTGTAGTTACGAGTTGTGCTGCTAGGTGGTGTTAGTTGGGGGTCTCCCGCGACTGTTAGTGAGCTGGCGTCAGTCTGAGTTAAGTGGTTTGTCTGTGGTGCTCTGTTGTGTGCGTTCCTGTTTCAACCCTTTGGCGATTAGTGAGATGGCCGACCAGAAGGAACAAAGAGTGTGCGTGAAATTTTGCTTTCTGTTAGGGAAAACTGCACTTCACTCTTCAAGTCGCGGCAAACATTCACGCGGTTTTCTCTTTGGTCATCTCCGAGCAAGCGAGGAACAAATTTTGCAGACACCCGTCTCATGTGCAAACCTTCGGTTAAAATTCGCTGGACCGTGCTCCATGAGATGTTCGTTTCCTCAGAAAGTTGGTCAATGGTCTTTCGACGATCTTCATCAATTTCACGCACACTCTTTGTTCCTTCTGGTCGGCCATCTCACTAATCGCCAAAGGGTTGAAACAGGAACGCACACAACAGAGCACCACAGACAAACCACTTAACTCAGACTGACGCCAGCTCACTAACAGTCGCGGGAGACCCCCAGCTAACACCACCTAGCAGCACAACTCGTAACTACAAAGCATGCGCACGCAACAGGTCATTTCCGGTTATTTTGGGGTCCCCCCTCGTATGTGTTTCTTCAGGTTCTGTTCCACTGCATTGTTCTTGGCTGTACTCTGTCCACCTAAGTTTGCAGTCACACATATTGCCATCAGCGGCTCAAATTAAAATTCAGTAACAGCACTGCTGTGGGTTGTTATATCAGCATCAAATCCTGATGGAAGCATGGCGTGCAGAAAACATCTATAGAATTTGTGTATATAATTTAATTTAGTGGAATCAGTGATCTTTAATAGACTAAAAGGTGTGAATACGCTGTGTACTATAATCAGTTCAGGGATCCCTGAGCCTTAATGTGACAGAATTAATCTGTTTTAACAGAGCTTAAAATGTACTGACACAGCATTTAGGAATGTTTCCCACTTAAATATTCCCTTATATGCAAGAAAAGTTACCTCTTTGTACAAAATACACATCCTGGATCTCAAGTTAAGCCTATTGTGAGATTACTGACGTATTCCATTAGAAGAAATGTTGCAAGTTTTGTTCCTTTCAAGGGAAATTCATTCATCAGGAATAATATTAACAACACATGGGTCTATTTCCAGGGATTAAAACGCTCAGTGACCACACTGAGAGGTGGCACCTTAGGTTATGCCGAAATAGTTGCTGTCAAGGTGAGATCAGATCACTTTCACAGGAATGTTGCTTTGCTGTAGTTTACTAACAGTTCCTATTTCAGATGGCTAAGCTGTTCCCTTTATTAACAGTTCAGTTGTTTACTCATTTAATTTTGTGTGTTGTTGTTTACTGTGTATATGTTGACTTGAGCTATGCAGAATTAACTCCATTATGTTGCTGTGTAGTTTTCAACACTTTTAGATCTTACATCTGTCTAATTGAGAGGATCTCATGAAAGTAGGAAGAATTATCACATTACATTCAATTAAAATTTTGATTTTCAGCTGAGAAATCAATTTGTGTTTCAGTAAAATGTTGTAGATTTGTTGAATAATTTATAAAATTTCAATAGGTATGTAGTACATCATTTTTATTCCTAACATATGTGAATTTTGAACTTAGTAGAAAGTGTTGAGAACCATACCCTTCTCCATGTTGAACATGTGTGTGGTATAGTAAAATGTTATTGGAATGTCACAGTTCCTTTTCTCCAATTAAGAATGTCACAGTTCCTTTCTCTAATTAAAAAACAAGTTTCAGATGTCAGCAAATGTCCTTGAAGCCCAACAGGTTTCTTCATTCTATGAAGGGCGTTCCGTATATAATGCCTCATATTTTTTTGTGTTAATATGTAAGTCTGAGCTGGATGTTGGTGGTGTTGTAGTAAAGGTTGAACCTTCCTGCCAATGTACTGTTAGTTCGGTTGTCGTGCGACAGATAGTGACAGCAGAGCAGTCTACCAAAATGGCGTCTGACATAGAAGTGCATACGAAACAGAGATGTGTTATTGAATTTCTCACTGCCAAACAAATTGCACCCATTGACATCCATTGATGCTTGTTAAAGGTGTATGGAGACAATACAGTGGATGTAATCACAGTGAGGTGGTGGGTAGTGCGTTTCAACAGTGGCGAAATTAAAGTGCACGACAAGCCACGCCCTGTGCGTCCCTGCTCAGCTGCCACTCCTCACAATGAACAGCACCTTGATCAGCTCATCTGTACAGATTGGCAGATAACGACAAGGGAACTGTGTGCACGGCTTAATATCGGCTGTAATGCATTGGAAACGATGTTGGGGAAGCTGGATCATCGCAAAGTTTATTCCAGGGGGGTCCCCGCAGATGCTTACACAGAACCACAAAACTCATTGAATGGAAGTCTGTCAGGACCTGTTGCAGCAGTCTGAGGTTGAAGGTGACAAGTTTCTGGACAGCATCATCACCGGAGATGAGACGTTGTGTCACCACTATGAGCTGGAATCCAAAAGACAGTCCATGGAGTGGCGACATCTGGATTCCCCAAGAAAAAAGAAGTTCAAAACACAGCCATTGGCATGGAAAGTGATGTGCACGGTCTTTTGGGATAGGTGGGGTGTGATTTTGTTGGATTTCCTGGAGCCTGATGAGACTGTCAATTCTGAACGCTACAAGACGAAGCTGACTAAACTGAAAGCCCGCATTTCCCGAGTCAGGCCAGAGAAGCAGACAACTTTTCGCTTGCAACACAATAACAGTAGACCCCATACCAGTTTGGCGACCACTGCACACATTTCAAAGTTTGGCTGGACTGTCCTACCACAGCCACCTTATAGCCTCGATTTAGCACCTTCAGACTTCCATCTCTTTGGGCCTATGAAAGCTGGACTACGTGGGCAACATTTTCCAGACAACGATGCTGTCATTGCAGCTGTAAGAAAGCGGCTAGCCTCTGTGGGCACATACTTTTATGGGCGCGGCGTACAGGCTCTTGTTCATCGCTGGCAAAAGTGCATAACAAATGGTGGTGATTATGTGGGAAAATAACTGTAAGTAGCTGAAATCTTGCTTTATTTAACTGCATTATTATGCTTTCTGTATCTGTTGTAGTTTTCATTAAAAAAAATAGGCATTATATACAGAACGCTCCTCACATGTATTGAGACTCAAAGTGAGAGGCCTAATTTCAAGTTTTGCAAATTCTCAAATTATGGATTTATCAGTTATTTAAAACAGATTTGTTATGATGTCATTAACACAGAATATTTTTTTTAAGTTGAGATAGAACTGGTGTAGAGGGATTGTACTTTCTTTTAGCCAAGTGATTAAATATTAGCAGCAAAAGAAGTAGTTGAAGAGTTCAAGAATAAATTAACCTACAAGAAGAAATTGCCACTTTATGTTATTTGTGAAGGATAATCACATATCTCCTACAAACTACATGTAAGTGTATGTGTACTTGGGGATCATGATGCCTGTAGAATATGCTCCTAAAGTTTTAGCTAATTTTGCAGGTTGTTTATAGCCATGCTGCTATAGAATTCACTCCACTCCAGCAACAAATAACACACCTTTTGATTTCAAATTTATATTAAGGTACAAGATATAATTGTATATATTTGATGGCATTGCTTGTCAAAATTGTTGATATAATACATGATCAGTGTTCATAGTTATGACATAATTTCACTAAAACGCATTTGTAACTTCAAAGAAAATTAATTTTCATCGCATTAAGCTAAAAAATTGGCACTTAAAATTCTTTACAAATTTTTGTTAATGAGTCAGTTTATGATAAGACTTTATATGTGGCTGTCCTACACAACATTTCAAACTGTCACCATTCGAACGTCCTCTCATTCTTATAATATGCTATAACAGCGAATCATGTTTGCTGCACATTTAGCAAGTGATAGTCCATGCAATGTATAATGTGAGAGAACTTACATCATACGTGACGTAAATCCCGTCCTTTATGCCATTTTTTCAGATCATTTTCAATAATGGCACCATTTTCATTCTCAGCTGTGTTATCAACACTTTCCTTTTCAAACTTAATAACAATCATATAACTCACCCACAGTTAATAACATTTCTAGGGTCTCCAGGAGCACGGGCATAACATTTCGGTTCAGCAGATCATTAAACTCAAAGTAAGTGTGTTCTTGAGAATGAAAGTAAGAGAGAATGTTAGAAAATCTATGCTTCTATCACTATGCTGACCTACCTAAAAGAAATTGAAGGACTGCAAAATCAGTGATTACTACAAAAACTTCTGATTTTCTTATAAACTCATTTTAAATCTGCCCTTCAAAAGAAATGAGAATATTCATAATGTTCAAATTAAGGATGTTTTCCATACAGAATTAATCTGCTGAAATATGTCAAGATTTGTGACATGGCTTTTCTCAGCATGATTGCATCTATTATAAGAACAATATTTTTATCCTTTTCTTTATAAATTGCTCTGTAACTTCTCTGAAAAGTGATTAAATTATATAGCATGGGAAGACAGAATGAATTATTATGAAGATGAAATGAGAATGATTTGAATGAAAACAGGCATGTTATATTTGAAAACACTTATACCTGGATAAGAAGCTTGCTATGTAAAAAAGAATATCTATATATGTGTGTGAAGTATCTAGTGGAATCTGAGTAGATGAACTTCAACTTATCTGATGATTCTCCAATTCACAAATGTTTAAAACAATTGGATGCATCTTCTGCTTTCTTAGTTTGGCACAAAAGTGAAGAATCAAGTTCCTGAGGACCAGAAAGGTGTGGATTGAATGGGTTAATTCAGGTAGTTGTTAATACTGGTGATCACTGGGGGAAGGGAAGTATATATACAGCAATCCCTTGCCAACCATAGGAGTTATGTTTCTGAAAGGCATGGTGGTTGGCAAGCCCAAGACCTCATGATAAAATCATGTGTTGCTGGAACGACTGGTGCCATTAACACTTATCAAAGCATATGTGCTCTTTTACTTTAAAAATAATGTAACAATGTGTTTAAAAATATTATCTGCAATTGTAATATGTTAATAAGAGTACTGTTCTTGAAGGCACTTAATTACTGAGAGTTTAAGTCCATGATGATGATGATATTATTATTATTACTGTCACATGAAATTTTGTGGGTCTTGGATTTGAACGAATATTTATTGGACGATCACACTTTACATTCACAGATACAATTATTCACATTTATAATGTCTTCAGACGTTCCTCTTCAATGTTATACACTCTTACAACACTAATCTTGGTGAAGTGTCTTCTGCTCTGTTCAGAGAGCTCAACTGTCCTTAGCTCTCGTCGAATCTAAAACTGACTGGTCTCTTGTCGGATACAAACTTGCTTCTGCTCTAGCCGGATATGAACTTGCTTCTGCTCTAGTCGGATACGAACTTTCTTCTGCTCTAGTCGGATACGAACTTGCTTCTGCTCTAGTCGGATATGAACTTGCTTCTGCTCTTGTCGGATACAAACTTGCTTCTGCTCTTGTCAGATGCGAACTTGCTTCTGCTCAAGTCGGATACGAACTTACTTCTGCTCTTGTCAGATACAAACTTGCTTTTGCTCTTGTTGGATACAAACTTGCTTCTGCTCTTGTCTGATACAAACTTGCTTCTGCTCTTGTCAGATACAAACTTGCTTCTGCTCTGGTCGGATACGAACTAGATGTTGGACTGTTATATCATGCACTCGGGCTGAATTGGAAACACCTTGTTGAAGGGTTTAGTTTCGCCCACTGCTATGCAACGAATCTCTTGTTGCCATGGGAATACATTTTTACTGCCTCAAATAATTTGTTGCTTAGATATTGATTGCACACTGTTCTCTAGGTAGCATGCTTTCTCATTGTCCATTGTGTAGTGATGGAAGTCTTATAGTCTGGCTTTCAAGCAGCACAGCTCATTATTGTTATTGTTATTATTATAGTTATACTCACTCTTGTTCTATGCTCACAATTTTTTTGTGTACATGAATTAAAAAACTGCTGAAACATTATATTAAATAGCATAGTTGGAAAATGGTAAGCATTGTGTATTGTTATACCATAAAGATCACAGGAATTCTCCTATACACCAACAAACACACTGATCTAAAAGTAAATGCAGATAAAACCGTGTGTCTAAACATGACACCAAACCCAAATCAACAGAAGATAGAATTTAGCTACTGTTGTATGTGATAAAGCATCAACATTTTTAAAATTTAAGTGTCAGTTAACAAACAGAAACAAGGTTTATGGTGAAGGTAGGAGAAGAATAAATTCTGGAAATGTTTGTTAGTCATTTCATAAATTGTTATCAACCCATCTGCTTTACAGAATAATGAAGATCAGGATAAATAAGAAAATTAATTTACAATTTTTTGTATCTGTGTGAAACATGTCTTCTACTCTAAGCAAAGAACGAAGATTATTAGTGGTCAGGAAGATATATTGACTTAAGAGGGATTAAATATATGATCACTTTGAGATGTTACTTAATGCATGTCTTCTACTCTAAGCAAAGAACGGAGATTATTAGTGGTCAGGAAGATATATTGACTTAAGAGGGATTAAATATATGATCACTTTGAGATGTTACTTAATGCGGAAATTCATGACTTAAACAGGTCACATATTGCTGTTCAGATAGGGATTATAGTGGAGGTTATAACCATCTCAGCATGTGGCTATAGTATAGGAGATAGAACAACATACAGAATTTGTATGGGAAAGCCTCTTTGAAAATGACCTTTTGAAGACTGAGGAGATCAAAGGATAGCATTGATTGATCTTTGATTGTAAGGATGAAATGTGGATGGAGCTCAATCAGGTTTTGCACAGTGGCGTGGTTTGGTAGAGGAACTGACTGGGAATGCATTATCTCATTGAAGAGGTGCTGCTGCCAGCTAGCAATAATGTAAACATACTGAACATTTGTTTAGTTGGCAGTACATACAATAACAGCTGTGTAGACACTGGAACCTATAGAAGTATAGTTTTTGGCACTATGAGTATTTAGTAATATTGATTTCATAACATAAGGTAACCATCAAATACAACTATGTTATGGTTTTCATTCAGATCATTCAGAGGACATCAAACATATATCATGAATAGGTCTATATGTAGGTTTGAAGTTTGTGTTCAAATAAAAAAAAAAATTGTAAAAATGTCAGTTTTTAATATTCAAAATGTAAAATATTTTATGTGTATGTGTCTAAAGGATCAACCAGACTAAATAAATATTTTTCTCCTGATACCAAGATCATAATGGTGCTACATGAGAGATTTTGAGTACACACATACTGGTTGCCAGTAGTATCAATTCTACCAAAAGGTGGGTCTGCCAGCAGCAGTCCTCTGTCATCATTTTCATTAAAATTCTTTTACATGACTTCCTTGAAATCTGAACTTTGTTGTCTTTCAGTATGGTATGTTGTAATTGGCTTGTCAGTATGTGAAGTGGAGTCTCTGGTATGCACTTACATAAGGTATATTCTACATAACTTATATGAGACCCTTTCAGATCTTTAGGGCTGTTTATGTTTTCCATTTGTTTAAAACAAATCGTTTGTGCCACCAAGCATAATGTATGTGAAAAGTATGTGGCATATTACCTCTCCACATTAGGATCCCTGGTACGGTAATTTGGGAAGATAGCTATTAGACAGAGGTAGTGGGATATGTTTTGCAATGTAACTTTAAATCAGCTGTTTCTGCATTCTTTTATTTGTTGCTTGCTAAATATTGCATTCATTTCATTTGCTATAAGTCAAGTAGATTAGTCTGTAGCGAGGCCTCAATGACTGAAAAATATTATTATTAATTCTGTGTTTCAGTTACTGCAGGGTTTTCAATCAGTGTTTTTCAATGCATGTAACTTGTAATATCTGAATCTGAAAGTGTACAGTATGGTGAAAATGCCTTCCTTCCCTGATTTACAGCTGCATCCTGTAGTTTGCATGCACATTCCATAACTGTTACACTGAATTTGTGTTGCATGCACTTTTTGTCTGATTTTCAAGTTCTTATATGTTTCTTAATTATGACAGTTTAAGTTCTGCATATTTGAATGCTCCAGTGTTATGAAAATCAGATGGTAAAGTAACCAGTATATACTGTCCTCCAGTGAAGTGAAGGGGAAGGTAATTACTAAGTGCCATCTGGACGCACTGTTAAAACTGAAAATGTCAGCGTGATTTTTAGATGATTCATACTATTGCCATTGGTACACTGAAACTCAGTGTGTTGTAAGTAAACAGTAGAATGGTCAAGACTGATTAGTTATGTTCACCACTTGCCTTGCCTTCTTTTCATTGGAGGATATTGCAAGCATCATGCCATGTAAAATGTAACATATTACATCTCATGTGTTTTCAGACCTTAGAATCTTACATATTTGGATTTGAAAGATAATTCAGGATTTGTTTCAGTCTTCTGTGTGCAGTATCACAGTTTAGAAGGCACTATTGTAGGGTCTTCGTGTAAATGTTTGAGGATGGTAAGAATTTTGTCATGCCTAGAAATATGTTATTAATTAAAAAATATGAAATTTTACATAGTAGTCCTTGTCTCCATGACATGACACTTTTTCATGTTATGGAGGGAGATGATCTCAAGGCAGCTGTGGGTATATTGAACAAGTAATCGTGAACAGCTCATGAGGGATGGCTTTCTAGCTAGAAACTTGACCATTGGGATAACAATCCTTCATTGTTAAAAACAGCATATAACAAAGCATCACACAGGGGTTTGCGTTGAACTTGGATTAGGTCTTAGGTCAGGAAAAGGACATAATGATTGAACTTGGGGGACTAGGCACAGATGGAAGAATTGTATTAGAAAAGGGAAATAGTGGATTGGAGTATATCCAACTGGCTTATGATAGGTGCTAAGTGGAAGATCTTTGTGAACATGGTAACAGGTTTTTGGATTCCATAAGAATATGTCAATGTAATTTGAATGAAACCAGCCAGAAAACCATTGTGAATTTTTTTCCCCCTGTTCATTTAATCCATGTAATGAGTTGCAGATTAACTTTGTTTTTCCTCATGAGAAATAATTATTTGGTCCTTGGGCTAAGATATCTGTTTCATTTAGTGGCATGTCTTTGGCATGATGATTTCTATAAACACCCAGAATTCAGTCATATTTTGTGTGATGTGCAGCATGATAATATATGCTTAAAACAATCATTTTGGGCTTTCCCCATCATTTGACTATTAAAACCACTGGGTTTTGAAAATTGGTTTTCTGTCTCTCTTCAGATGAATAAGGTATAAAATCAGATCTACTTTCTGTACCACACAGTTGAGAGAGTGTGCCAGTCTGCTCATTTATGGTGTTAGCAAGCTCAGATAATGGACAAAACCCAAAATAATAGTTCCAAATAATCTGTCACACCACTGTCAAAACTTCAGACTTGTATGATAATTCCCATTTATTAAAACTGCCAGGTCAGTTTAAGTGTTCCCTTAATCTTGCTTTGGCAAATGAAATGATGAACACAAATTATGAACCATCTTCACTCAAGGGTGAACCTGGTGAACCTGGACCTCCTGGTCCACCAGGACCCCTTGGTCCTGAAGGTCTTCCTGGACATGATGGCAGACAAGGGATACCTGGAGAACCTGGACCACCTGGTGAAAGAGGACCCCAAGGACCCATGGGGCCTATTGGACCTTCTGGTGCTCCTGGTTTGGTAGGACCTAAGGTTAGTATGTACGTTTTTCATTCTTAACAATCTGCAGTTACTGACTAATACAAGTGCAAAATTTTTTGTAAATATTCATCATATTAATGACATTGCTTACAGGGTACAAAGGGAGATTATGGGATGATGGGACCACCAGGATTTCCAGGGCTTCCTGGACAGCTGGGATTGCCTGTGAGACTCATACATTAATTCTTTCACCACTCAATTAACATTGGTTTTTATGTGAATAAACTAACAGACTGTTCTTTGCCGATTGCTTCGTTGACATAAATTAAGCAATTTGACCAGTTCAGTGATACATGTCATATCATAGTGTAGCAGTACAACACAGAATAGTCACTGTTGTGTATATATGTATCTCCAAAAAATAATTTATTCATGCAACACAGTTGTAACAATCTCAGTTTGTGTGTATTCAAAATCATATCAGAAGAAATATTTATGACAGTGACAAGGATATGTAAGAACATGTTTCAGTTCTAACACCATATGGCTCAGAAAGGGATTTATTAAAGTTGTGGTTCTCAAACAGTTGATTCTGTAGTCAGAACTCAAACTGTATTTATGTTCTTGGAAGTTTTGACATAAACCTGTTATTTACAATTGGTATCATGCCCTAACTAGTATGAGTAACTATCAATCCATATCAATAGTACTTTTTACATAAATTATTACAAACTATTATTTTTTGGAGATTTCTATAATAGTTTTTAACAGCTTGCAGTTTATAATTTTAGTAATTTTATAAAAATTTTTTAACAACTAGGGAATTCCTGGGAGAAATGGATCGAGAGGATATACAGGGGAGCCGGGTCTGCCTGGCCGTCCTGTAAGTCACAGTTCTCCAAGCTACTATGCTCCTTGATATAAAACGTAATAAAATGGTGCATGCCTGCAGCTTCTGTTTTCTTTTTAGATTTGGAATGCTGTTCAGGAGGCTTCCTCTGTTCTACACTGCAGAAAAAGAAGGTTTTAGAACATGTTTTCTCAATCTCACAATTAAAAACAAAGTAAAGGCATTGATGAAGATGATTTAGATGTTCAGAATACAGTATATAATGAGTAACTGTCTCTCCACTGCATATATTTATTGCACTGTTTAGCATAGGATGCCAAATTAATTTTTGAACACACTGTCAGCTGTAGGATTTGAAGTTCTCACAAAGACAGTGAGGATGAATTCTGTCTTCTGGCATATAAAACTGTGTAGTCTGTTGGAAGTCAGCCTGTGTTTTGGAAGGATATGTCACATCCAAAATATTGGCTAACTTTCAACAGACTACATGGTGTAATGTCCAAGAAGACAGAACTCCACATCATCAGTTGCTCAACAGTTGTAGTATGTCTTGTCCTTATATGTAAATTAAACAGCAGGAACAAAATAAATTTGTGCATCAGCATATTAGCTTGAACAAGATTACAGTGCTAAGATTTCGAGGTGGAAGGAAAATGCTAAAGTTGTGAGGGTATAGAGGGGGGTGGAGTAAAATTTGTGAACATTCTTTAAATTGACACTAGATGGAAGACTGATCACCCTCTTATTCCAGAGACTTTTTCTCCGGAAAGTGACATTGTGCCCAAGTACCTGGTAGAGTACAGAAATCAGGTGTCATCTGTAGTGAGTTACATGCAGTTGTATATTAATAAAAGGAATCAAAATAATCTTACAACTTCTCTACACCTGCAGTGTGCTATAGAATGTTTCTGTATAGTCACAAGAATTTCCTCAAAATTCTTTGCTGGCTGCATCAACATTTTCCAAAAGCATCTGCATTAAATCTTACTAACTTACGGACATGCCTGAATCTTGTGTGGATGTGATTATATTGTAAATAATTCTTCACAGAGCCTAGCAACCCCTTTAAGGTAGTAGACCAACAGTTTTAGAGAATTATTTTAGCTGTAATAATGATATCAACAGAAAACAGGTAATTTGAAACTTCTATAGATTTTTTATTTACATACTTAACTCTTCTGTGATTATGTAATGAACATTTCTGCCACATTGAGAAGACAGGGAAGAACTGGTCTTCTAAAACTACTAGTGAGTTGTGTGATAAAGAGTAAAGTTCAGAGAACTTGAAACAGTTTTCATTTCATGCATCCTGTTGTGTTACAATATACAGCCTCTTTATTAACCGTCACAGCACAACAAATATCAATGTCAGTGCCCCGCCACAGCTCTGCTACATGTTGTAGCAGTCGTTGTTTACATTCCCTGCAGTATGGGACAACACTTTACAAGATGAGGCACCGACTAAACAATTAACGTTGATTTACTACGTCTACATCACGAGCCTCCAATACAATCTTATATACAAAAAGAAAAAATATATAATATTCCAATTTGTCCATGGGAACGTACGAAATTACAAAACCAATGACTGATTCGATGTTATAGAGCATCAATTAAAAATTTTAAAATTTTATTCTTGTTTTATACTATGACTTCTGTTTCTATAGTATGGTTTATTGTATTTTTTACATCAAGTGTTTTTTATATGATTAATAGTATTGTATCCAGTTTGATGGTGTATATGCTGTTAGCCATGTGTTCGCCTGATGATTGCTATTGATAGCCGAAACATGTAACAGAGCCGTAGCGGGGCACTGACCTTGATATTTGTTGTGTTGTGACTGTTAATAAAGAGGTTGTAACTTGAAGCAGGATGGAAAAGTTTGAGGGAGACTTCATCAGAGAGTAATACAAAGAAATACAGAAAATTCACTCATGATAAATGTTGCAGGGGAAACTGCCAACAAATAAGGATATATTTTTATATTACAAGTGCATTGACACTTATTTTTACACTTCAGGAATTAATGAAATTTCTGGAGGAATGGAGAGAACTCTGCTCTGTTATTTTTATGCTTGAATGCAGGACAAGGTTGTCTTACACTCTGCTATGATTTGCATTCCACAGTACTTTGTTGCAAAAATAGATGTGGTACTTTCTTGCCTCAATATGTATGTCACAAAAATATTTGCATTTCAGCATGTATTGTTAACAGAAAAAGAGATTGAGAATTGCTGATCTAAAATGTTCTTGTATTGATTAACCAACTTAACCAAATATTCTGTCATAACCCTTGTTATTTCTTTATAGTCATACCAATGAATCAAACATTTACTTACTACTGTACTTGTAACTAACTAATACAGTCTTGTGTATTTCCACAATTTCAGCCTCACTTCCATTTAGTTATTTAACTGGGCATAACGTGTTACCAAAGTAAGTAACTTGTGATAAATAACGACCTTGTTTCCTTAATCAGTTCTTAGAAAAAACGCCTTTAATTTAATATTTTATTTCAGTGATAATGTGGTGCTACTAGGTGAAACTAGATACTTACAGTACAGTATATTATCTTGATAAAATTAAGTGTATGTGTCAGTGTGTACACACATGGGCATGCATCTGTGTGGCCGTGTTCACTGGTACACGCACACACTAGTGTCTACAGTCATGTACTCTAACCAGTGGATCACTAAAGGAATTAAAATTTCTGCAAGCGAAAAAAGTATTTGTAATTGATGATTAGATCTACTAATTACCCAGGCTTAAAGGAATATTATGCTCGATATTGTACGTTGCTGAGAAAAGTTATCAGGAGAGCTAAAGCTATATATTACGAGGGAATAATAACGGCTGCATCTAATAAATCCAAGGAGTCCTGGAAAATCATAAAGAGAGAAAATGGTAGAGAATCGAAGAAAAAACGTTCATATTCAGAATTGAGAGAAGGTAATGTAATAATCGATAGTAGGAATGAAGCTAAGGCATTTAACTCATATTTTTTGAGTTCAGTTAACAAATTAGTTTGTCAGAGTTCTAATAATGTATGTTTTTTACCACTTTCATGTGAGTGCTCTACAGATAAGATTTCTGAAATTGTAAATATTCCAATTACTGAGGCAGAAGTATTAAGCACGATAAATTCATTAAAAAATAAATCTTCTTGTGGATATGATGGGTTGTCAAATAAAATTATTAAATTATGTGGTGAACAGATAGCAAAACCACTTACTTATATTTATAATCTTTCTGTAAGTTCGGGCAAATGTCTCGACCGATTGAAATATGCAAATATTATACCATGTTTTAAGAAAGGTGATGTTACTGAAATTGCCAACTATAGACCGATATCTTTGTTGACAAGTTTCTCTAAATTATTTGAAATATTGGTGTTTAGCAGGCTTAAACAGCATTTTATAAGAAATGATATCCTGGCTCCTGAGCAGTATGTCTTTCGTAAGGATGTTTCTACACAAACCACAGCCATTAATCTAACTGATACTGTCCTTAAAGCATGGATCAATAAGGAGTTTGTGGTAGGTATTTTATGTGATCTGACAAAAGGCCTTTGATTGTGTCAGTCATGATCTGTTGATTCAAAAGTTGAAGACGTATAGAGTCAAAGGGCCTATTTTGAAATGGTTGGAGACTTATTTAAAAAATAGAATGCAAAGAGTTGTGCTGCATACTTGTAATTTGACTGCTACAATCTCTGAATGGAAATCTGTAAGCTTTGGTGTTCCACAGGGATCTGTCCTGGGACCAATGTTGTTTAATGCTTATATTAATGATTACTCTTAAGGATATAGCATGTACTATTTTGTATGCAGATAACACAACAATTTTAATTACCTCAAATGACCTAAACTCTTTGAATATTAAATTAAATAGAGTTATGACTAGGGTTTCAAGCTGGTTTTGAAATAACAATCTGGTACTTAATTTGAGTAAAACTCACCTGATTAAATTTGTGACTCCTAAGTCTCCAGAGTATACATTATCGGTAACATATAATAATTTTAGACTTAAAGATGTTGATAATGTTAATTTTTGAGGTATGTATTTAGAGTGTCAACTTAATTGGAAAAAACAGTCTGAAAAATTATTAAAGAAACTGAATACAGCGTGTTCTATGCCCAGGAAGTTACAATCCCTTGTCAGTGAACAAGCTCTTCAAATTGTCAATTTTTCTTATTATCAGTCTCAGCTTGAATATAGTATTATATTCTGGGGTTCTTCTCCAGTTATGAAAAGTTTATTTGTTGCCCAAAAAAGAGCAATTAGGGTTATGCTGAGATTGAGTCCTGGAAACTAGTGTAGAGAAGATTTTAAGAAGTTTGATATTTTGACGGTTCCTAGCCTGTATATCTATTCTATATCGATGTTTGTTGTTAGAAATCACAATAATATTCATCATATAAACACTAGACAGTTTGGAAAGTGATGAAATAATGTCGGGAAAGGTGGATGAATTAAGATACACTGTCCGTGTGTGGAACATAGTGCTTTCATGAGTCTTCCATTTATTAGAGAGCGGAAGCGGATATAAAAAAAACAATAAGCATAAATGTTGCCAACTTATGATGATGATATGATTACCAATCCAACATGACCTCCTAATCTCATCACAGTCATAAGTCAACAATCAAGTAAAACATAATATAATTAACTATGCAATCAAATTCAACTTGCGACGAAAATACTCAGTTTTTGGACCTGGCAGAGCTTTGGTCAACAAGTCTGCCATCAACTCTTCACTCTGAATATAATCAAGTTTCACTTTACTTTTCTTTATGGCTTCTCTGATAAAATGATGCTTTAACTCTATATGCTTAGTACACTTACTGAATCGCCTATCCTTACTTAACATTTGGGCTGACTGATTATCATTAAAGATTACAGGTACTTTCTCTTCATCCATCAATTCTAGTACAAAGTTTGATAAGTAAATCCCTTCTTTAATACCTTCAACCAGTCCATTCAGTAAATCGTGTAAACGTACACACTCTCTAGCGGCATCATTCAACCCCTT